ACTTATGTACTCAAATGCGCTATCGCCCAGGTCCCCCAGGTCATTGTGTACGACTGATTGCCCCAACAAGGACCAAGGAATGGCCTAACTTAAAAAAAAAAACAAAAAATCCAAAAATCCAAACAACTTTTGCCACAGATTCACAACGGAATTCTATTTGAATTTTAAAATAGAAAAATATTTTCTTTCTTTTATACAAGTTAGTTGCCTGAAAGGAGTATACGCATGTTTACCCCACTTATAGCTTAGTAGGATTAAATCTACCAACTAAGCTTTACCCCCAGAATCCAAATAGGCTTAGTAGGATTTGAACCTACAGTTTCTTTTTATTTTGTGTCTCGGCCAAGTCCTAACATATTACTTCGAATTGCACAAAAAAGAAGGAAAAAAAAATGGCAAATGATATAGCTGTTCTTTTTTTTAAGTTTATATCAAAAAAATGACCCAGTCCATACCTTGAACATTGTGTTGGTCCTTGGTCTGCACCCGATGGTTTTGGGGGGCGACTGGAAGAGGAATCGAACTAACACATCAAACAGCTGACCTTAGCCAGTCCAGCAGCTGAAGCTACCCCTGGCAAGGGGAATAAACGATCAGGACGATCCCCTCCATTTATGATCATGTACTCTCTGTGGACTTGAATTCATGGAGATATGATCTGGGTTCTTTTGCAGTCTTTGTGTGACTCTCTCCTACTTTCTATGCGTGTCTCTTCTGCTTTCTGCTCATTGACTCTTACTGGATTGTTTGCTGTGACCAACTCTGACAATGGGTAATCGTTCAAAATCTTCAGCAGATGATGCACTGATCGTTCAGCATTACCCGCCATACACATTCAGATGAATGTGGATGGATTCTCTCTCTCTCTCTCTCTCTCTCAAATCTCCCATGCATAGACAACAACTCGTGACTAGAAAAACACAAGGGTACCCCCACAACTGCCCCCTCCTCGCTGAACGAGAAGTGCACGTGAAGAAAACATATTTTACAGTAATGCATACATCGCAAATCTCAAGATTTTCAGGTAGATGAGATCAGAGTCATCAGACTCGATTGCATTTCCAAAAAAGTCAAAACAGAAGAATCTTGGCCAATCTTTTTGTTGATGAGCAACATGCAGCAATCAGTTCTAGAAACTGCCCAGTGAACAGCATATTCTTCGAGCAGTCCTGAAACTGGCAAACCTCTACACTCCCCAAACACGAAAAAATTATCACATAGATTCTGAATGAGGAGGGTCTTGCTGCGACTCCCATCTTTCAAGCAGCAGCCAATGGCTAGGCCTGCAGTGCCTGCCTACCGCATAAGATTGAAACTACCAGCCACAGAGAACCTTCCACTATGCTAGGCAAACAAAGATTGTGCATGTAGGGACCTCGCAGCTTCAAAACACAACAGTTTCAAGCAGGCCCTTTTCGCCCAACCAGCTAAGGTTGGGTGCAATGAACCAGAAAGGCTTTCGCAGATCCTATCTACAAACATCCCATTGAAGTTGCTTTGTTTGGTTCCCAAAGTCAAATTCAGGGGCAATAACGAACCCATGGCGATCAATTTCCCCCCCCCACAAAAAAACAGTTGCAAATTCACATCCGGCACGTACGACGATCGATTCTACCCCCCTCAGTTTTGCAGTCCTCGACTTTGCAAAGTAAACCAAACAGAATTACTGCACATGTAAAAGCAGAGCATGTTGACGTCGACAATTTGAAGATATTGCACACTCGAATTAAGCAATGCCTTTTTTTCCTCCCGGAGTGACCTTTTGTGTATTGGCCAACAATTTGTAATACCATTCACGTTAGCTCAGCGTGATCAATCCGCTTGTCCTCCTCATCAGGATAGTACTCAACTTGAATCACAGATGCTGCTGGGTCTCCCTATTCGCTGTCGCCCCAGCCTTCCATCCACACTCCAGATTCACATATCCGTCCATGGCAGGGGCATTCATCTTCCTGCTGGCATGAGACAGGTAACGCACTATCTGGATCTGACACAGATGTATGGCCACGAGATAAGAAACTCTTATCTGCATTCCGACCAAGAACATCCTAGATCTCCCAAAGTCCACACGAATTAGGTAGCAGTTTACGTGCAGACACCTTCAATGTGCAATCTCAATCACTCTCCCATACCATGTCTCCCTCCTTCAAGATATTAAGAGGATAATATAGAGCTTTTTGGCCTGATCAGCAACCGCCGCATGCACCTGCTACATATGCCCGATAGCTCGTTGGAGTTCTTCAGAACACCGTTTGGTGAACGCCAGCATTCCGGGACGTTGCCTGCACTCCTTTGCGGCTCCCCTGGCGGGCCTGAATCATATTATTCAGTTATTGTGGTCGCCTGAATCATATTATTCAGTTATTGTGGTCTTCACATGGTCGGTCGATGCCGTAAACGATGAGTGGTGGTCCCACAAACATGTGAGAGTGTTCCATCCTTGGTGCTGTTCAGCAGGTGTATGGCCCCACAAACACGTGAGTGTTCCATCCTTGGTGCTGTTCAGCAGGTCTTTGCATGGTTGCAATTCTGTACGCAGAACTGCCATCCGCACCCACACAACTGATGTCACAGTGTCTGCTATGCAACCCTCTGTTCATTCGCTCCGTCCGCCCATCATTCTTTTTGTGCTGGGCTCCACTTACGCACAGTTCCCTTTCTTTCTTCCCCCCCCCTTATACTGAGTCAGGTGCAGCTAACAACTTTAATCCGACTTTCTCACTTTTGAGTCCTATGTCCCTGTCACTGACAATTTCTCAAGGACAAGCAATCTCCTGCATGGAGGCATGCGTCAGGCCTCGCTCCACTACTCACCACATTCACAAAAGATAAACTGTTGTGATGACTCTGTCCATGTTCTGTCCAAACATTCATTCTCACTTTAAACATTTGGTAAGTAGGAGAGCGAGGCCCCATACTTCTTCATATGTATCCGCCACAATCTTACTCGAGGAGAAAAACTTCGTTGTGAGGTGGAGAATATGCCTCACATAATTGAAAATTGAAGTTGCACTCCTGTGGCTGCAGTACACCGAGTTCTTTCGATTCTGAGGTAATTGGGTGGAAACACGGAGAGAAGAGAATTCATAAATGATGCGTGCATCCATGCTGTTGCTAATACAAGCACCCATGCAGACCAAAACTTACTACTCATCCTTCGCCTCGCATGGTATTAAACCAGCCGGTACACTGCCCCAGCGTTGCTGAAAATGCAAATCGGAGGCCTGGCCTACCCAACCAGATGGCCGGTCGCGTCAGCGAAAAAAGAAAGAAACTTCCCCGCTGGCAGTTCGGACAACCTTGGGGCGCAGTACGGCATGTCCAGGTCCGGGCGTACTTTCGGTTTAAGCTCTTGCAGATAGTTTTTGTCACCACAAGCACAACTCGGAGGCCGCGGGCAGCCAGGCCCGTAGCTGAATAAAAAATTGGCAGCCTCCGAAGTGGTGCGGTTTTCATGTGTATGGCCAGCTTAAACCACCAGTACATTGGTCTTTCTGTGTCTGCATCTCTCAAGAATTTTCAACGAGGTAGAAACCTGAAATGCCTGTAATTTGAAAAAAGAAGAAGAGAAAAAAGCCTGTACAGCACAGATACAGACTTTCCAGGCGTCAGTTTGTGGCAGGTCTTGCAAAGAAGAAAGGTCCTCCTTAGTTGTCCGGTCAGGCCCTGGCAGGCATTTCTGCTGATGGGGATCATCTACCCCTTGCGTCCCTTTTACGGGGCATCATAAAGGGTAGTTGCTACAATTGCTCATGGCCCTGCTGCACCGGCATAGGAAACTAGCGTTCTGATGCGGTGCACGGGTAGGGGTGATGTCGGTCGAGAGTCGTAGTCCTGTTACATGTATCACAACCCATCGATCAAATCTCAACAACCGAGCCTGATGCGTGTGGCAGGAGTTACACAGAGTCAGCAAAGGAGGGTACGCTTGCGATGCAGCATTGTGGCTAACCCTGATGCATAGTCATATCAGTCGTGCGATGCATTTCTCCACCCATTCATTAATTCTCACAAATGTTGGCAACCCATCGATCAAGATAACATGGGCCCAAAGAGCCCGACTCGAGAACCAAGGGTAGCAAATTGTTTGAGACTCCACAAATGTTGGCAGCCACGTCTTAAGCACTCGTTCCCACACACGCGCGAGATGACAAAAATCGGCATGGACGGACTCCTTCGCTTGCTGGGAGGATCTTCACAAAGGCCAAGAGCACACTGTTATCTTCTTCAAGTCTGAGATCAAGCACTTCAGCCACACCCCCAAAGTTACAGCTCACTACGATTCTAAGCGTCACGGATTGAACACATTCACAAGAGTGCTTATACGTACAAATCAGGGGTTCACCATGCAATGCCATTATTGCTAAACCGGGCATGGCCTCACCAACCTGCAGGAAGGCGCACGGCCCAAGTTTGCGCACCGGTCTTGCTACGGTCGTTGACCTCCTCCACAAACTCTCACCTTCACAACGCTGGAGTACCAACAAAACCATCTTGCTACGCTCGTTGACCTCCTCCACAAACCCTCACCTTGACAACGCTAGAGTGCCAACAAAACCACATGAATTTGGGTGACCCGAATGCCAGAATAACAGACTGTCAAACTTGCCTCCTCATGTAGGAGGCAGGTAACATCAACATCATTGCACCCTCCATCATCAAATGCCCTGCTGCCTTGCTGCCTATCCGCAGCCCGTGCCTTCTGTGTCCTTTGCGGGCGCACCTTGCAGCTCGGTTGCCAGGTGTTGCGGATTGTGGATTTAGTGAAATATTTTTTTAACATCTTCAATGATTCTTTTAGGTATTTGGGGCATCTTTTTAAATAGAAAGAATATCCTTATTATCTTAATGTAAATTGAGTCAATGTTAGTGCTTCGCCGCATGGTTTCTGTGCTGCTCGTATGCTCGCCTTGTCCTCCCTCGCAGTTTGATTGCCTTGTTGGTGTTGCCTTGTGCTTCACTGCGTGGTTGCCACGCTGAGCATCCGCTTGCCATGTTGATCCGTGGTGCTTGCTTTGTTAATGTCACCTTCTATAACCCAAGTCGCTCTCTAGAATGTTCGGTCTAACTAGAGTATTGCACGCATCGCGTGAGAGCAGTCGCATTGCCTCTGCAGCGTTGTCTGGTGCTTCGCTGGGTTGCTGCCCGCTGCTGTGTTCTATCTAGGGACAGTCTGCCTTACCCAGGGGGCAAAGGGTTCATTCATGACCCAAATCATCAAATGTGGAGATTCCTCAGATTGTCAAGGGTTCAGCCTCCTGACGACTCGGCGCATCTCCTACAAAACAATCTTGTTATCATCACATTTAATAAAGTCCTTAGTGTTTTTCGCTTTTTTGGTTTTGGAAGTTGGAACGTCATTTTTTTTTGCTTGCTGTTCTTTTGCCTTGCTATTTTTTGGCTCACTGCACACATCGCGCAGAAGGCGGGATTATGGTTTTTGAAGCCGCTTGACCGCCCTAGGGCTCCTGCTTGCCTTGTTGAGACCTCGTTTTTCTGCCTAGGCAGCACTCCAAACGTGCAAAAGGCGGGATTATGGTCACATTCCTCCTCTCCAACGCCATCCGACCCACTCTTGAAATATATTCTCCGGCAATCAACCTGCAAGGCAATTCAATACAGTGTCATCCTGTTCCTCTGCAGTGCGATGGACAAACGTCTATCTACAGCGAGACTCGGATGCTGGCGCACCACACAAGTCCCAGAACAAAGGAAAAAAGCCAAAAGTCTGATGAATGTGACAGTTTCAGTGCACAATTCGGCATAAAACCTCTTCCAATGAACCACGTGTACATACTGTATTCCTAGCTGGCAGCGCGGAGGCGCCCTCGTACTTGCATCACTAGGCATTTCTCCTCAGTTCAGATCTCCTAGGTCAATGGTTCCTCAAGCCTCGCATGAACGCGTGGTAGGACAAGGCTGAACGGATATCATCATAGGAGATTATAATGCTTGCTTATAAAAGCCCGCACAAGTCTGGGTGCTTCCAGTAAATACCCCCCCCCGGGCCAGCAAGTGCATCCCGGAAAACGAGTTATGGTTTGGACAGAGAACGGCCAAAGCACCCCCCAGCCCCCCCCTCTGTATTGCGGCTAGAGCTGCAAGGGTGGCTGTACCTTGGCCTTGTCTGCCTCACTCTTGTCTCTTCTTGCTGGCTTGCTGGTGTGGACTGACGCCCCCCAAAATAGACGTGGAATGTGCTTGGTGTAAAAAAAAAAAAAAAAAAAGACAGGCTCTTCCGAAACCGTCGAAGTTCAAACCTTCATTTGAAGTTTTACAACAAACAAACCAAGCAACAACGTCCCTCTGATGAAAACTGCAAAAACACAGTGCTGCACATGATCACTGCATCAATGGCCGGCAACAGGAAATACGAACGGTGCTGCACATGCATCAATGGCCGGCAACAGGAAATACGAACACATCACATATCACACATCAGATACGAGCGGAAAAGCATGGGATGAATATTTATTTTCAGAGCCTCAAGATCCGAAGATCATCGTCTGCCATGACAGCAATTGCATGAAGAGACCTCCCGTGCAAAGAGATTCCATCATTGTAGTGTGGTGCCGAACACGCTTACCCAAATCCCGACAGTAATGACCCGCCAATTAATACACCACCCTCTGATGATAGGCCATTACATTGGCAGCCCCTTACAATTGGGACACCCCCAGTTCATGATTTCAAAAAGAAAACACCTGATGATAATGCACAATACCTCTCACCCTTCACTTGGTTCCTTTCGGCCTCGGTCCACCGCTCGTCAACGGTGCGAAAATGGGAATTACTGCACCTCAATTGTTGTCTTTCATGCAAATGAGTGGCCAAGCGAGGCCCTTTTTCTCAGCTCCGCTGACCACCTGTCCCAATAGAACACCCCGTTGTTATAGCCATATCTGGAGTGAAAATTGCACCAAAAACAGCTAGAGTGACCAGGGGTTCGATTCGGCTGAAGAAGGTAGGGACACATTTCATGCCGCTACACCAACCCAACAAACTGATGCCAAACGCACACATTCCATACACAGGTCCCACCCGCAATTCGCAAGCATTAGCCACTCAGACCCTTAGATTCCGCCATCATGGTTTTTGCGCTCAGACGGCTATGTGATATGGTTCTCATCGTCGCGGCAGGCAACCCTACGCCCCCACCAGTGTTAGTGATGCTGATAAGAGCAGAGACCACTAGCACGTGGGGAGAGGCTCCATCTATTGGTGGGGAGGCAACCCTACCGTCTTCACCCGAATAGAACGCCCAGTCATTATAGCCGTATCTGGTACAATTTCGAGTCCAGATACAGCTATAATGACCGGGCGTTCTATTCGGGCAAAGACGGTAGTCTGAAACCAACGAGGAACAACCGGTTATACTGGTTATTCATGACAACAACAGGTTATACTGGTTATTCATGACGACATCTACCGAACCACGAACCATCAGACAAATCAGTCACACCATGTATGCTTCTCGTCGTCACAGGAGACGAGTTAAGTAAACGCTCGTCAACCTCGACGATTGAAGTCTCTTCCCTCGTCACACAGAGTCGTCGGCCTCGTTCTGTAATGACCTGGAGGGCATACGTACAATAAGACAACAACATTTGTGACCACAACTAAACAGCTGATATATCGACAATTCTTTCCATTTAAGCAGGAAATCGCAGTCGTCCAACAGAGTGCTAAAAACTGTTCCGACAAATTTACAGATTAGAGATTGTAGGAGGAAACCAGCGCCTCCCAGACTCCGAATCTACCTTCGGCAACTCCACAGGGAACTTGCCTCCACAGGGAACTTTACCTTAACACTGGAGCGCTCACAAACGACACCATGCTGCAACAGAAATCATGCTACTCTACCGAAACCTCATTCATGACAAGAATGCAATATAACTACAATCCTGCAAGCTTCCCTTGACCGACACATGGCTCTGTCTGAGAGTCGGGGGTGAGGAGACCTTCGGAAAAGGAGCCGGATTGGCAGCTTGAACTAGATCCGGTCAGGAGGGAGGGAGGTTGAGGGCTGCTGATCCTGCAAGATTCCCCTGACACTGACACTGACCTGTCCTTCAGACGCTATGCAGCCAAGTCAGGCTTCGGGTACATGTAAGGGAACATTACAATCTACGCGTGCAAACGGGGGAGTGTCACCTGGCAACCGTTGGAAGGGGAGAGGAGGACATAACGGAACCACCAATCATGATGAATGATATGGCAGTTCGTCCTTCAAACAAAGTGCGGAGCAAGCAATTGCCAGGTAGTACAGACATGAGCTGTGACTCAGGTACATACATCGCGACGAAATCACCGCAAAACAAAACAGATGGCCAGAAGAACATAGCTTATCTCACAGATTATACAGGACAAAGATAATCAGACCCTGCGGGTTGCTTATCCCTCGGAGACATTCCGATCCGCTGCCATACGCGTTGAGAAAGCCTCCAACTTTTCACACGGGGGCCACACTTGCGGGCAGCTTCACATAAGTGGAGAGCATCGCCACCAAGGGGATCCTTTGACATTCTGTATTCCTTCTTGGGATGGGATATCTTCCACGAAGAAAAGCAGTTAAAAAATAGAGTAGAAACGTTTCTAGTCGGATGAATTTGGGCGCTGAAGTAGTGGCCCATACCTTTCCTAAAATTGTGGCTGTTAACAGGCACAACTTTAGGAAGTACTGGTGGTTTAAGCAAAACAACACTCCCGACCGTCCCGTACCTTTCCCAAAGGAAGCTCCGCGTAGGATCAACACCAACAGTCTGCCCAGCATGCATCTGACTGATGGATAAAGACTTGCCACATTGTGCAGAGGAAGTTCCCCGGACCGATGCACGGGAATGAAGAATTTCCTTTCACGACCGGACTGTGGGCTGTTCCAGTAGACAGGTCAATGGATGTGGATTCTGCCCAGCCATTGGTTTGTAAACTGAAAGATTTCTATCTGCTTCCATTGACTCTCAAAGTGCACACGACCACGGTGAGAAACACCTCGGGAAGCAATTCGTTCAAATCGACACAAACATGCGGAAACTGAGCCAACACAGCACTCATCTGCACTCCTAGCCATTCGTGGAGCTACATTACACCAAAGGCGTATCGTCAAAAAAAGAGTCATTTTGGATCAAAGTTCTTGACACCTACATTACTCGCTTCGTCTCGGAACCTGTATGGATCGTTTGGCCTCGCCGTCTCAACCGATTCACAACTCAACACTTCAACAGACAGACCAGCAATGGAAGAAGCTAACACCATTTTCGTTTAAACCTTCAAAAACAAACATGTGGAAACCGAACACCAATCGTCCCGCAACATCATTACACCTCAAGTCTACCGTCCACAGTATCGTTTTGCATAACAATTCTTGACACCATGTTCACATCCCGCACATCCACCATGTTCCACCTAAGGTTCATAACCCACAGCATCATTTCCATCGACATTATTAACTCCCGCTTCTCATCTATTATCAATCTTTTAATTTGTAAAGACGCGCGAGTCGTTGAAGGCTTGCGCACACCAGCACTCACAAGAAGCTGAGCCCGTATTCCTGAACGACCACACCAAGAGCACAAACTACTCGACCCATAATGGGACAAAATTGGGCATCAGATAGGAGCGAAAGACAATAGGTGAGGTGATGATATAATATCATCCAAAGCTCAGATGAACTATTGAATCATCATTAGCTATACTCTACAAGAATTATCAAAAACTTCAACCTCCCACCCTTCACCACCACTCCCATAGCGACTAGGCGCAGAGTTTTGCGACGGATGGTGACCATGATTTTTACAGCCTCAACACACAAGGTCCAACTTCGTATGCACTCCTCATCTCCAAGAGAAACTGGAGCATCCGAAACCATATTCAGCACCACTTAGCTCTATCGCTGTTGAAGACTCCAAACAGTTTCGTTTAAAAACATCGTTTCTGCAAACAACCGCCTCAATCTAGTCTGCCGTGAAGACCCGAGCCATGTGACCTTCATAAGTCAAACATCGAGGACAACCAGAAGCATACTCGCTGTGCCATGAAGGTCCAATCCTCTATATCGCATCAGCGCATAAGGGGCAGAGGTAATGAAAATGCCCTCACACCCCCTTTAAGTAATGATGCACGAGTCCTACATATGCTGGGACACAACACCCCACACTCGTAAATCATCAACCCGTGGCACTCCGCTTCAGAGACTCTTAAACACCACACACCTGATCAAACACGTTTTAGCGCACATGGTGCCCGCTCCTCAGATAGACCTCAGCACACTTAAACAATGCTTTTCTGCAAACAACCGCCTCGATATAGTCTGCCTTGAAGCAAAGGGCCATGTCACCTTCATAAGTCGAACATCGAGGACAACCAGAAACATGCTCGCTGTGCCATGAAGGTATATCGCATCAGCGCATAAGAGGCAGAGGTAACGAAAATGCCCTCACACCTCCTTTAAGTAATGATGCACGAGTCCTAAATATCCTCGGACACATCACCCCAGAGTTGGAAATCATCAACCCGTGGCACTCAGCTCAGAGCCTCCAGACGTCGCAGACCTGATCAATCACGCACTCAGCATGGGTTATAGGTGGTGTCATAGTTGACAAATTATTCCACTAAACTGCCATGTTTCTCTTAATTTTTTCTTGGTTTCTGTGCATTTAGACCCCAAATTTTGGCCCTTCCATTAACCATCTCTCCAATGACACTGTGTAGCACTTAATAGGTGGTGTCATAGTTGGCAAATTATTCCACCAAACTGCCATATTTCCCTGATATTTTTCTTGGTTTCTGTACGTGTAGACTGCAGATTTTGGCCCTTCCATTAACCCTCTCTTCAATCACGATGTAGCGCTCATGGTGCCTGCTCCTTCAGTAGACCTCTGACAAGCAGGCCTTATTATAAGCACTATTATTATATTGAAACAGTTTTCACCTTTGGCAGTAGCCGATGCAGATCCCAGGGGTCGATCCCTTGACCTCAGCTTACCTGTGTACAGTATCTGCACAGTTCCCTGGAGTTGAACCCGTGACCTGCACGACAGCCAGTGGTAAGTAGGTCGCCGTAGGTTGTAGGCTGTAGGAAGATTCGAACTGTAGACCTGTAAGGTAGGAGTCCAAGTAGAGTCCAGAGGCCTAGCTGTAGTCCTAGAAGGTCGGCAAGGGGTCAAGTGGTGAGTCTAAGGTAGGCCCACGTTTTCAGACGAAGACAAGTGGCAAGGTCAACAGGTAGGACCTCAGTGCAACTGCACTGAGTCGACGGTACGACTGCCTACAGTCAGCAGAAGGGTCTAGAGAGTCCCAGTCCAGTCCAGCAAGTACCACAGGGGGACTGTGAGCACCAAGGGCCGATCGCAAAGGGCAGACCAACAAGTTTCTGAAGTATAAATCAAGAGGCAGCGCCCAGCCATTCCTGCATGAGCCATGCGGAAGCGCTGCCACAGTGACTTGTGCAAGGAGGTCTGCAGATCAGCCCGGAGGACGCAGTGGGCTAGAGAGAGGGAGTTAGCATAGCGATAGGGTAGATGCAGCGACAGCTGCCATAGCTGTAGTTAGTAGTAAGTGTGTGTGTGTTCGAGTGTTAAGAGTGATGCGTATGGGATATCCAGGGTGATCCAGTGTATGTGAACAGTGAGATGTTTGGGCGCTGAAGTCGCCATAGCCAATTGAGAGTGAACTCRTATCTGAAAGCCATATCTCTGAGTTTTGAGTGGGCGCATGTCGCCAGTATGCTGCGTTGCTGTTTACATGCATGAAAAGTGTGTTTGAAAACGAGTCTGATTGCATTAGTATAATTAATAATTAGGCATCGTTCTACTTTTTCACTCGCGACGTCCCTCCTTTATTCTATGTGGTTCACATTGTCCATTGTTCCTCACCACTGGAATAATAGCCGCCCGTGCAACATCCTCCTTAGCACCCCAACAACTCCTGATGGAATGGAACAGAAGGTCATACGTAGCTGTCCCGAACCTCAAAGGTCACATCGTACACAGTCATTGAGTCGACCCATTCTGCAAGGCAGAAAATAAAACAGGCCACAAGGCTCGCCATAATTGGTGCCTACGTAGCGCCGCGATCGCGTTCGGAGGCGAACGCGAACATGTTCGCGAGCTGTTTGCGCGAACGCGCGAACACGTTAGCGCGAACATGAAGGTGCGCGAACACGTTCGCTGTGCTACGCAAATTGGTGCCGTCCTCGAGCAAACACTGCCACCCACCCATAACTTACGTTCTTAACCTTCACAAAACGCCGGGCATCAACCTTCACAAAACGTCGGGAATCCTGTCCAAAAGTCACGGGACGGTGTCACATGTACTCGATACCAAAATATTCTTTCAGGGGAAAAGTCGGGTTTCCTGTGGTTCGACAGAAGATACCGAAGGCCTCAGAATGTGTAACAACAGTTTCAATATCCCGAGTCCGAAGACTTCAGTGAAATCTGCTATCCATCATCACAGGCCGTATTGGCGAACAGAACAGTACACCGCCGGGTAAGACTTTGGGGGGAGAGACATACGCTGGGCACAATCCTCAGGAAAAAATTAAGAGTGTTTTGAAGTTTATACATCACAGATAACTTTAAAGTGTTAAGGTCTCTCCGCAGCAGATTGCCCTGGATCTTCCTCTAGTCCTTGCAACATATCAATATGATTACCTCTACGAGGTCCATGGCAAAATCGCAATCAACTTCATCACAAAAAGGCTAGCTAACTGGAAAGCATCCAATACACACAGCCCACTGTCTTCGACGCCAAAAAGTGATTGTCTTTTCTACGACGACAATTTTCGACTAAGTGGAAGAAGAAGTCGTTTTGATGTGTATGGCTCATTGGAGACCGAAATCCCCAGGTAGCCCACTGGCTAGAAAGCCAACTTCATCATCGTCGATCTGACTGATAAGACAACCCCCCAAATCATAACAAGCCCACTCACGGATTGAAAAGATCATGTTCCGCCTCAAGAAGCACCATACTACAGTTCAAAAACGGCGCCGGACAAAGCGTAGAAAGCCAGCTTCTTCATCATCTATCTGATTGATGAGACAACCCCCCAAATCATGATAAGCACACTCACGGATTGAAAAGATCATGTTCCGCCTCAAGAATCTGCATACTACAATTCAAAAACGGCGCCGAAATAAGGGTAGAAAGCCAACTTCATCATCATCCATCTGACTGCATACACAACCGCCACATCATAACATGCACACTCACGGATTGAAATGATCATGTTCCGCCTCGGGAAGCAGCACTCTACAATTCAAAAACAGCACCGGACAAAGCAAAATAGACACAAGTTCCCACATAGCCAACTTGCTAGAAAGCCAACTTGATCATCTTCGATCCGACTGCATAAACACAACCGCCAAATCATAACATGCACACTCAAAAGATTGAGAAGATCATTTTCCGTCTCTATAAGCAGCAGACTACAAATCCGAAAATTCATTGGAGAAGGATCAAAGTGGATCATCATTGGAGGACAACGAAGCGGTGAGGTATAAAAAACAAAGCGGATTTGGAACAACTACAAACATGATCAGCGGGGAGGAAAGAGCAGATCAGTAGTTGCTTGCGACACACAGGACTGGGTACACCCTCCGCTTCATGCAAGGGGGATAGCATTGCAGATTGCATTGGTTGTGTGAGCTGGCAGACAATGGCGTACAATGGCTCCTCGTCAGTGCCACCACTCTTCCACTTTGTCTGTCGTTATTCGACAATGATGCAGCAGACAAACCATGGTGTATAAGAGACCTGTTGGTCTGCTGCTGCTCAATCCTACGGATGTTGTTTCCCTGCAAGGTAAGGAAGCCTACATCAAGCTCAAGTAACGATTCTACAACTACCCAAGGTCCAGGACACCATCATTATGATCACCAGGCATCGAGCTTATCCATCGTGTACACAGGCAAGTTCTCAAAAGGAGCGGCGAAGGTACGCATCGTTAGTCGGCACAATGACATGTAAATAGACCTCATGACCGGGGGAGTTAATCCTATGCTAGGCAAAAGGAGAGTATTCGATCTCATCCATCTTTTGACTCACTATCTAGAACTTAAACAATCCTCACAGGGCAGAACCATCTTGTTCTCAAAGGAGCAGACATCATGGCCGACTTAATACAATCTCATGTTACTGGGAGAATAACCAATCTCATCCATCTTTTGACTCACCATCTAGAACTTAGACATAGCAATTGTATGTAGCAGTTTACGAAACATGCAGCCCATATGCCCGGGACCATGTATTAGGAACAGCATGCATTTGTGGACCTCTGCTGTCCATGCTTCCAACCATTCGCAGAAACAGGAAAAAGTGGTCCAGACCTCATATCGCTTCCGGGTACCCTACAGGATTAGGGTACTAAAAGAACTACCCGGTTCGTCAGACATGCCCGACCTCCGATCCAACAGGAATCAACAAACCCTACAGCTACAACAGTGTAACTTCCAGTTTCGCAGTTCGTCGGACGTATGCTCCTCAGATTCAGAGCATATGATTTGAGAAACTGCAACTCTTCGGGCACTCTACAGTCCATGACCCAGTAGCACCAAGGATCAGAATAACACCGGCCCAACGATTCTGGTTTGAGAACCAGGAATAGCAAAGATTCTGATTTGAGAACCAGGAGTAGCAAAGATTCTGATTTGAGAACCAGGAGTAGCAAAGACTGATTTGAGAACCAGGAATAGCAAAGACTGATTTGAGAACCAGGAAATAGCAAAGATTCTGATTTGAGAACCAGGAATAGCAATTTGAGAACCAGGAATAGCAATTTGAGATACCTCCAGCGTTTGCATCCATCTCCGATGACAGAACGGACGATTAACAGACACGTACTGTAGTTGACCTTCACATAAGCCAAGGGTGCCTGTGTTCAGCAAGTCTGACATCAAGCCCTCCAATTTCAGCAGAGTAACAAATCCCGAGAAGCACTCGTACCTGATAATTCAAGATGCCATATCGTTTTCGCAAATTTGGCCAGCCAGCCCCTCACCGACCTTCCCTCAAGCGCGTGCAAAGCCAAAGTGTGCACCCCAAAGTCCCGAGTACCCAACTCTGGTTTGACACATCACATCCGATGTGTGCTGCTGCACGTCCAACCCCAACTGGTATTACAACCAGAGAATACATTGCGCCCTCAGGATATGTACTGCCCAAGATGAAAACAATTGTGTACATGCGTGACCTTCATTCAGCGCGGGAATACACGGCAACGAGTCACCACTACATCCAGAGAGTCAAGGTTGACAACAAGCTACCTCCTCTCGATCGCTGTCACAATTATACATTCACAGTCAATCCAACCTGTCACGCAATTGATTAATAGAGTGAAAGCATAATGCATCCATCACCCTCCTATGCAATGAAACAGAGAACTCCGTGTTAATAGAGTGAAAGCATAATGCATCCATCACGCTCCTCTGCAATGAAACAGAGAATTCCGTGTGTTAATAGAGTGAAAGGAGAATGCATCCATCACGCTCCTCTGCAATGAAACAGAGAACTCCCTGTAATCTCCAATCTGCGGTGAGTCGGACGAGGTCACACCACATCAAGTTCCAGAAACATCCATCTCCTCTCTGGCAACATTCATTCCTAAAAGGAGGTACTGCATTGCTGGCTAGCTGGCACCGCAGAGGCGACCTCGTACTTGCATCATTAGGCATTTCTCCTCAGTTCAGATCTCCTAGGTCAATTGTTCCTCAGGCCACGCATGGAAGCATGGTAGGACAAGGCTGAACGGATGTCATCATTGGAGATTTCAACGCCTGTAAAAAGCTCAAGCTTCAAAACTGAGGTACTACAAATAAACCAAGGATTGACATTCTCTAACGTGACACATCTATCTGCAAACAGACGTGCGCAAAGGGCGGAGGATCAAGACCAAGGGCAACACCACCGGGCTCTTTAAGGTATGTGGCCGAGATGTCGTCACTAACTTTCCCTCACAACTCATCATGCGTCTTGCCAGAAAAACGTGAAACTGAAAGCATCCTTCCCAAAATGCACATCAGATTGCTGGCATTCATCACCCAGATATGTCAGTGGGAATCCGACTGAAGCCACTTTCATCATTTGCAAAATTTCTACCAGCACCAATCAAATGCAACTGCCCAGCAGAAACCAGGTGCTTATGCAGAAGCACACATTCCACACGTGGTACGGTATTTTGGAAAACTCAACCGCTCAGACCCTTAGATTTCGCCATCATGAATTTTACGCTCAGACGCAATACGTGAAATGTTCCTCGTCATTGCGGCTGACTACCTAAGGAACCTGCACGACAATGACGAAGAAATCGTAGCATTTGCTGACCACAGCTTGACCGACTGGACTGGCCATTTTTGACTTCCGGTACACGCAGACCTGACCTTGTATGATGCCACAAATCAGTACCCAAACACACCTCACAGTGCTCGCAATCCCAACAGATACGCTAAATTGTCAAGCATTAGCCGCTCAGACCCTTAGATTCCGCCATCATGGTTTTTGCGCTCAGACGGCTTATGTGAAATGATTCTCGTCATTGCGGCAGACAACCTAAGTCTGAACTGAACGAGGAGCCAACCTCAGTCATGACGTCCATCACATCCGACAGTTCTCGTCATCACATAATTCACAGCGCATTGCGACCATGATCACAACTTGTGCCCTATACGTTGTCACGAGAACTGTTCGAGGACGGCAGACTTCAATCGTTTGTACATTTGCTATCCTCGAACAGTTCTCACTTCCGTTGACTCTCACAGTGCACACGTCCACAATGAGAAAGACCTCGAGAAGCAATCCTCCAATATCGCACAAACACCGCAAAACCGAAAAACGTTAAACGACTAATCCATGCTCCTATCCATTCGTGCAGCTACATTACACCAAATGCGTATCGTGAAAAGACTCATTTGGATCGAAGTTCTTGACACCTTGTTCATATATATTACTCATCTCGTCTGGAACATATACGGATTGTTTCGTCTGAACATCACCCCCGCCCGAATTACAGTAGAATCGTCCTTTTTCCCACCAATCTTTGTCCTTGGCCCAGATCTCCAAAGCCCAATTCCTCGAACCATACCTGAACGTCACACCCAAATTACAGTAGAATCGTCCTTGTTCCCACCAATTCAGTCCAGACCCCTAAAGTCATATTCCTCGAACGATGCACATGCATAATCGTGTTAAGACAAGGCTTAAACCACTAGTACCTTTCCCGCGTGGGAAAATAGGGAAAACTGGCTGTGTTTCCCAAACTCCTGAATATTCGGAGGCCGGGCCCGACGACGACTGCCATTGACTGTTTCGGGACCGCCGGAGGCCTGCTATTTCCCACCCGCCAAAGGTACTAGTGGTTTAAAAGATATCCTCAATCAAACGAGATTACTGAACAAAACAGAATGGTCCGTGAGGCACACCATGCCCGACATTTACAAATTGGAACAATCCACTCCAGGGTGGCTTGCAGTCCGTATCACCCTGCAAAAGACCCGCATAGAGTAGACACTAAGAATGTGGATTCTGCACAGCCATTGGTCTGTAAAGTGAGCGACATGTCCACTTTCACGACGCATGCAACGGTGCAACCACTGAGAAACACTTCAAGAAGCAGGGCGGCATTCCTCGGAATTGAACAAACATTACACGGGTCATTAGGATTTTGAATAGCCCTCGACATAGCCGTAATAGAAGAAATTGCTGAACACAAAACTACAAGCACGACTGGAGAATATTCAGCATCCAAAGGAGAGTGAGACTATCAAGAGAGATCTTAGATTTCACAGCGTCCAATGGTCAGATGAACCATTATTTGTGTTATTAACGGCCATACCCACATCGAGGACCATATCAAGAGAGTACACGACTGGGTAAAGCTTTGGGGGGACATACACCGGGAACAATCCTCAGGAAAAAATTAGAGTGTTTTGAAGTTTATACATCACGGATTTCTTTCAAGTGTTAGGTTTCTCATCAGCGGATTGCTCTGGCTTTTCCTCTAGTCCGTGCAACATACCAATACGTGACACATTCGTCTCATGTCCGGCATCATTCCTAAATGAAGGTTGTGCACTGCTGGCTGGCAGGGCAGAGTCAACATCGTACTTGCATCATTAGGCATTTCTCGTCAGTTCASATCTCCTAGGTCAACGGTTCCTCAAACCAAGCATGGACGCATGGTAGGACAAGGCTGAACGGATATCATCATAGGAAATTACTTGCTTATAAGAGCACAAGCTTTGGAACCYAAGGCACTACAAACACAAAAGGATTCAAATTCTCTGGCAAATCAACCTTCCTGCTTCCAGTGCTTCCACAACAATCTACAAGGTAATTTTGCTTGGCAGGAGGATAAACACGAAGCTCACCACCGCTGGSGTCTGCAAGGTAATACCGCTCTGGGGGATCTAAGTCCCGATGTTATCAAATTTTCCATCACAACTCGTGCCTTTTCCCAAAAAAAAGGCAAAACTGAGACCGTTGCACAAAGCAGCCTAACCCAAATGCAT